TTTACAGAAAAATTGCAAAGATAGGACAGAGGGTTCCTGTATGCCCCAAGACCCACTTTCTGGGGGAGGATTTTGATAGTCTTGGTCTCAAGAGAAGTTCTCAGGAAAGTTTGAAATGATGTTTCATAGTTTCTCCTCTTTCCCTTCCCTCTTCAGATTAGTCAAAGCTCTATCTCCAGCTGCTTAGTGTCAGACCTCAGGGGAATAAGGGCTGCTAAATCTCTTTGTCAGTACTTCTTTGGAAAAACTATAAAAAAAAACAATTACCAGGTCACGTTAGCGAGCCCAATATTAAAGAAGAATTTTTAAAATTTATAGAACTGCTGAGATTGAACTGTCTATATTAAGATGTGGATCCCAAGTGTAAGGAACTCTAAATTCCTGGAGGAGAACAACTTGGAAATGCTAGTATCTAAGAATATATATAACTCAGGTGGAGTTGGTTATACAAGGGGCAGCCGCCAAGGCCTCCATGCCCCTAGCCATTTTCCAGCTGCTCACGATGCGGATGGAGGCTGCGGGGAGAGGCGGAGCCACAAGAGCAGTGCCCCAGCTGGCCAGCCCAGTACAATGGGCTCCGGGTCCAGCTCCCCTTCCGCTCCCCTCCCGCCGGAGATGGGGGAGGAAATGTCCGTGTCAGGGCTCAAGGCTGAGCTGAAGTTCCTGGCGTCTATCTTCGACAAGAGCCACGAGCGATTCCGCATCATCAGCTGGAAGCTGGATGAGATGCGTCGCTGGGAAGCCCGCACTCGCAGCTGCCGCTCACACTCCACTGCAACATCACGGAATCCTATCCATATTCTTCACCCATATGGTTTGTGGATTCTGATGACCCAAATCTGACATCAGTTCTGAAACGTTTAGAAGATACTAAGAACAACAATTTGCTTCATCAGCAATTGAAGTGGTTGATATGTGAATTCTGCAGATTATATGACCTTCTTAATCACCTGGATATTGAGATGCTAGATCAACCACTAACTCACCAGTCAGAATGGGACAGAAGAAGTGACTTCAGAAGAAGAGGAAAAGGGCCCGGCGCAGTGGCTCACGCCTGTAATCCTAGCGCTCTGGGAGGCTGAGGTGGGAGGATCGCTCAAGGTCGGGAATTCAGATCAGCCTGAGCAAGAGCGAGACCCCGTCTCTACTAAAAATAGAAAGAAATTAGCTGGACAACTAAAAATATATAGAAAAAATTAGACGGGCATGGTGGCACATGCCTGTAGTCCCCTGGCACATGCCTGTAGTCCCAGCTACTTGGGAGGCTGAGGCAGAAGGATTGCTTGAGCCCAGGAAATTGAGTTTGCTGTGAACTAGGCTGACGCCACGGCACTCTAGCCAGGGCAACAGAGCCAGACTCTGTCTTAAAAAAAAAAAAAGAAGAAGAAGAAGAGGAAAAGGAGGAGATGGCTGAAGATATAGAAAACTTAGATCACTACAAGTTGAAGGAAGAAGAGCCTATTAGTGGGAAAAAGTCAGAGGATGAAGGAATTGAAAAATAAAATTTGGCAGTATTAGAGAAAATTAGGAAGAGCATTTAAATGGTGCAGTGTTTCGGTAGTGCAAGCTTCAGACAGACTTTTTTTTTTTTTTTTTTTGAGACAGAGTCTCACTCTGTTGCCCTGGCTAGAGTGAGTGCCGTGGCATCAGCCTAGCTCACAGCAACCTCACACTCCTGGGCTCAAGCGATCCTACTGCCTCAGCCTCCCGAGTAGCTGGGACCACAGGCATGCGCCACCATGCCCGGCTAATTTTTTCTATATGTTTTTAGTCGTCCAGATAATTTCTTTCTATTTTTTTTAGTAGAGATGGGGTCTCGCTCTTGCTCAGAGCTCAAACAATCCGCCCACCTCGGCCTCCCAGAGTGCTAGGATTACAGGCGTGAGCCACCGTGCCTGGCCCAGACGGACTTATGAAAGTGCTCAGGGACATATACAGATCACAGAGTTATAAAACAGGGATTTATTCAGTGGGACTCATAAATGACAGTTTATATGCCTGGTATGTTAAACTTCGGAAGGTTGACCTTGATAGTCCTTTGCACAGTGATCTTCAGATCTTAAAAGAAAAAGAAGGCATAGAATATATTTTGCTTAACTTCTCTTTTAAGGATGACTTTCCATTTGATCTCCCATTCGTCTGAGTGGTTTTAGCTGTTCTCTCAGGAGGGTACACATTGGGTGGAGGAGCATGATTATGGAACTTCTCACAAAACAAGGCTGGAGCAGTGCCTACTCAATAGAATCCATCATCATGCAAATAAATGACACCTTAGTCAAAGTCATAGCCCAAGTACAGTTTGGAGCAAGTAAGAATCAATATAATGAAGCAAGAGCTCAACAATCCTACAATTCCATTCCACAGATACATGAGAAAAATGGCTGGTACACCCCTCCAAAGGAAGATGGCTAAATATATTGATTGTCATATGTTTGGACCAATGTTTTTTTAAAGAAAATCTTTCCAACATGCAGACACAAGCTTTGAGTGCGCCTATAACAACAGTACCGAAGATGTTAGCTAATAGATATTTTAGTGGATAATCTCTTAACTGACACCCAGTATAAGTTACAGTCTTTTCATTTTGCTCATTTTAGGTATCTTGGACTGAGCAGTGGGGCCTTTACTGTATTTTTCTTGATAAATACATATCCTGGCTACTCCTTATCATCTCTTTTTCTTAAAAAGCGAAATCTTTTAAGCAGACGAGTCAGCATCAGGTTACTGAAGATGCAACTTTAGGGTAACTTTCCTATAATGAGCCCATAGGTTGTGAGGATTTGCAAGATATTGTTCTGTTCAGAGCCAATAAAAGTTTAAGTGATGTTCAATATTGGTTTAGAAAATTTAAGGTCTTCTGAATCATAGTAGCTCTTTCAGGTCTAAAACCATTTTATGGTATTGCCAAAATAATGACAGGAAAACTACTCATTAAATTGTTAAATTATTTTTATGGCCGTGTGAAGATATGAACTATTTCCTGAAGGTATACTCTTAATTGAGTCGTATTGTACTTTTAGGCAAAGCAATGCAAGGCTATGCCAATTAAGGCTTGTAAGTAGTAATTTCCAGCATCAGAGTCTTGTTGGGCTGAATCTCCTTCTCTTATTGATTCAATATTTCTCATGAAGAAGAGCCACAGTATAGAACTTGAAGTTATTTAAAATACCAAGTCATTTTACATTGCCGTTTTATTAATGGGATGTTGTAGTCATTTGTAAATCAATAAACTTACAAAGTGATTGGCACAAAGACAGGCTCCTTGAGCAAAAGCTGCACGGTTAAGTACAAAAAGATACTTAATTTGGAGACTCTTAGAATTTTCGCTGTAGTTATAGCAATGACTTTTACATTGAAAGATTAAGGAATTCTACATTTATTAATTCTTTTATAAAACCTGACTCAAATCAAGGTACTCTCCATTTTTCTGCCTTACCTGAATCAGTCCTGTTTGGTTGGTAATTAATTTTTTTATACACTCAAATTTGATTTAAAATTAAATTCTAGTTATTAAGTACTTTTAAAAATAAATCCAGAAGCATACTTTTCTGTACAACCCAGTTAGAAAGTTCAGTAGTGTTTCTTATACATTTGGTTTAAGAATCAGTTTTTAACTTTGTAAACCACATCCAAGAGACATGGTACTTCTGCATTATTGCATGTGTTTAATTTCTTTTCATTCTATTTTGGTTAAGAGGACAGTAGATAAAGACTTTCTGGTATTCTTAGTCACTTGGTTACATTCGTATAAAGTTCTGATTGCCGTTTACTCAGATAACAAGTGACAAGGCAGAACTCTTTAAAGCATTAAAGTTCCTTAAACCTAAGGCTAAATCTTTTTTTTTTTTTTTTTTTTTTGAGACAGAGTCTCACTGTGTTGCCCTGAGTAGAGTGCCCTGGCGTCATCCTAGCTCACAGCAACCTCAAACTCCTGGGCTCAAGCAATCCTCCTGCCTCAGCCTCCCGAGTAGCTGGGACTACAGGCATACGCCACCATGTCCGGCTAATTTTTTCTATATATTTTTAGTTGTCCAATTAATTTCTTTCTATTTTTAGTAGAGACGGGGTCTCGCTCTTGCTCAGGCTGGTTTTGAACTCCTGAGCTCAAACAATCCGCCCGCCTCGGCCTCCCAGAGAGCTAGGATTGCAGGCGTGAGCCACCGCGCCTAAGGCTAAATCTTGATTATATTATTGATTTCTTTGATATTCCAGTGGCTAGCAGATTGACAGCTGCACATTTGGCATGGTTTGTTTTTATTTTTGGGGGGTGTTTTTAGATTTTATTATTAAATAAAAAAAGAATATAACCTTTTTTTTTTTTTTTCTGAGTCAGGGTCTCACTCTGTTGCCCTGACTAGAGTGCCTTGGCGTCAGCCTAGCTCACAGCAAACTCAAACTCCTGGGCTCAGGGGATCCATCTGCCTCAGCCTCCTGAGTAGCTGGGACTACAGGCATGTGCCACCATGCCCGGCTAATTTTTTCTATATATTTTTAGTTGTCTGGCTAATTTCTTTCTATTTTTTTAGTAGAGACGGGGTCTCGCTCTTGCTCAGGCTGGTTTCGAACTCCTGAGCTCAAACAATCTGCCCGCCTGGGCCTCCCAGAGTGCTAGGATTACAGGCGTGAGCCACTGTGCCTGACCAGAATATAACCTTTATGCAAGGTTAAGAATGTGACCTTGGAGCCACACTTTTCAGGTTGCAATCCCAGCTCTGCCATTTACTATGGGAATGTGGGACAAGTGACTTAACCTCCCTGTGCCTCAGTAGCCTCATCTTTAACATGAGGCTAGTAGTAGTCCCTATCACAGAGGTTGTTGTGAGGATTAAATGGATTAATATATGTAGAATATTTAGAATAGTGCCTGGCCCAGTAAATGTTAGATATTAACTCAGCTGTTATTATTCTTGTCCTCTAGGACTTGGGAGAATGGATTAAATGAATCGTTAAAAATACTGAGTGGTGTTGATAAATGTATTTCTTGTGCTTGATTTGAACAGAAACTCAGCCACCTGTGACAAATTTGAGTGTCTCTGTTGAAAACCTCTGCACAATAATATGGACATGGAATCCTCCTGAAGGAGCCAGCCCAAATTGTAGTCTATGGTATTTTAGTCATTTTGGCGACAAACAGGATAAGGTAAGTTTTATGGAACATATTACATTGATGGGATAAAGTGAACACTGTGAATTGGAGCCAAGAATAAGCCAAGTTCTGATCTTATATCAAAGTGGGAATTTTATTTTGGGTTGTGTCCAGATTTCAATTGAAATTGAAATTGAAGGCCGGGTGTGGTGGCTCACGCCTGTAATCCTAGCTCTCTGGGAGGCCGAGGCGGGCAGATTGTTTGAGCTCAGGAGTTTGAAACCAGCCTGAGCAAGAGCGAGACCCCATCTCTACTAAAAATAGAAAGAAATTAGATAGACAACTAAAAATATATAGAAAAAATTAGCCGGGCATGGTGGCGCGTGCCTGTAGTCCAAGCTACTTGGGAGGCTGAGGCAGGAGGATCGCTTGAGCCCAGGAGTTTGAGGTTGCTGTGAGCTAGGATGACGCCACGGCACTCTAGCCCGGGCAACACAGTGAGACTCTGTCTCAAAAAAAAAAAAAAAAAAAGAAATTGAAATTGAGGTTGCCTATAGAAACAACTATTGGCAAAATTGAACACTTAAAATATTTGCTGATTATTGATAGTTAAATGCAATTGAGATTGCTGTGATAGAAAATACTAGATATTTTTATCTGTTAGGCACTCAATAAATAATTATGCTATTGTTAACATTTTTTCCTATATTCTTGCCTATAGCTGTATTGCCTTGTATGTATATGGCACTTTTAATTTTTCAGGAATTTTCACATTCACTGTCTTGCTAATCACACGTACAGATAGACATGCAAAAACTATGTAGTGTGAAAGTAAACAGCCATATAGAAAGTAAAAAAATAAGATGTCAGTGGCAGGTGGGTTTGAGTAGAGGGTTTTCTAATGCCTGAGGGAAAATGAGGAAAACTTTCAACATTTCCAGTCTGATGTAGTTGATGGATTTAAGCGAATTTTTGCTATCAGGATTGGATGATTTCAGGTTCTTTATGATAATCTTATTCAACTGTTTTATATCTTTATATATTCTTTTAGTGTGTGTGGAGGGGTGTTTGGGGTTGCGTTTGTCCAGGATTTTGAGGAGGTAGAATGAAAAGTTATTAGTAATAGTGCTTTGCATCAGTGAATTGTGAAATCACCAGTTTCAAGCAGCTTTGGTGGCAGGAAAAGTCAGGAGAACTAGGTTCTAGCTGGTACTGTCACTCTTAGCTGGCTCAGTAACCTGGGAAAAGTAATTTAACCTCTCGGAGCCTTAGTTTCCTTGTGTGTAAAGTGTGGTCCTCTTCATTTCCCTGGTTTTCTGGGACACAGAAAATAATACACGTGAAAGTTTAATAGTGAGGACGGAACATGTTCTTCCTCTGGAGGGAAACTTATTAATCTGCTTTTCCTCTCCCTGTCCTGCTATGGTGTTAAATTATGGTTTAGATGTTAATTGCTAAAGAATTGAGGCTTATCAGAGGTATTTGCATTTTAAAAGAGGTCTTCTAAATGCAGAAGCCTATGATACTTTTTTTTTTTTTTTTAGACAGACTTGCTAGTCTCACTGTGTTGCCTGGGCTCTATTGCCCAGGCTGCATCATAGCTCACAGCAACCTCAAACTCCTGGGCTCAAGCGATCCTCCTGCCTCAGCCTGCTGAGTAGCTGGGACTACAGGCATGCGCCACCATGCCCTACTAATTTTTCTATTTTTTTGTAGAGACGGGGTCTTGCTCTTGCTCAGGCTGGTCTCAAATTCCTGGCCTCAAGCCGTCATCCTTCCATGACTTCACAGAGTGCTAGGATTACAGGCATGAGCCACTGCACCTGACCTGTGATACTTGAAGCAGTGAAACTCAAGCTCCCAGCTCCTCCTTTACACACTGTTGGGTTCCTCTTGTTCTTAAGGAAGGGCCGTAGGCATTTGGATTCTGAGGTGGCGATTTTTGGTGGTTCAGTCTTGAGAAACTCAGGGGAACACCCTTAAGTGCCCCTGGGTGTAAACTCTGTAGTCACCTTGGTATCTAATTGAAACCTTGAAGAGAGTTCACGTTTTAGGTCCCTTTTATTAGCTTGTCAAGGATTAATCAGGTAGCCATACTGATATTCTAGCCCAGAAATGGGACTAATTCCTCAGTGCACTTACAGAAATTTAGAGTTAAAAAACTTTAGGAGACAGGAGAATCATCTAGAATTGGATCTGAAAATTTGTCTCTTCCTCTTTCAAGCTGAGAGACCTTGGACAAGTCACTTAACCTCTCTGAGTCTCCATTTTCTTGTTTGTAAAATGCATGGTTAGTGGGGTAATAATAGTGTCCACTTCATGTGGATGGTGTGTGCATTAAAGGAGATGAGGTTTATAATGCACCTGCCACAGAGTTAGTGCTAGGTAACTGTTAGCTTTTACTAGTATGATTATTATATTGAACCGTATGAAATTGCCACTTTTATAGGTCAAAGTGGTTGAATGTTGTCAGTATTATCTGGTTCAGCCTCCTATTGTCATTTAACCTTGTTTCCTCCATTTTGCCCCTGAAGAGACTAGATGGAGACCATAAAGGGTGACCTCTGCCTAAGGCCTACTCATTTATTTTAGCCATTTGACAACTTTGATGGCTTTCATTCCTGCAGTTGTGATAAACATGGATTATTCCTTCCAGTCAGTGATGGGAGATGTCCTGTGTGGACCTTTTGAAATTTACCATCCTGGGGCTGAAAAGAGTGGCAAGAGTAATTTTTGTCTTTTCTTTCTGTTCATCGGATGTAGCATTAGCATCATCAGGCATATCTGGGTATATTTATCACTGAAGCGTATTAAAGCAGTGGCATTATGATAGTTAGGGGGCTTATGCAAACATCCAAAGGTCCCAAGTTGCTCAATGAGATAAACTCTGGGAATTATTTTCAATCTTCAGATTGAGGGCTCATCAAGATGGGAGATGGGGATTTGTAGATGATTTTTTATTTTATTTTCTTTTTCTTTTTTTTTTCGAGACAGAGTCTCACTCTGTTGCCTAGGCTAGAGTGCCGTGGCGTCAGCTTAGCTCACAGTAACCTCAAACTCCTGGGCTCAAGCAATCCTCCTGCCTCAGCCTCCCGAGTAGCTGGGACTACAGCCATGTGCCACCATGCCCAGCTAATTTTTTCTATATTTTTAGTTGTCCAATTAATTTCTTTCTAATTTTAGTAGAGACGGGGTCTCGCTCTTGCTCAGGCTGGTTTCGAACTCCTGAGCTCAAACAATCTGTCCACCTCAGCCTCCCAGAGTGCTATGATTACAGGCGTGAGCCACCGTGCCCGGCCTGTAGATGATTTTTTAAAAAGAAAAGATTGGTGTAAACAGCTGCCCTCCACCATTGTTTTGTCAATATCTAATAGTTCCTCAGTCTGGCAAGTAGAAGGATCTGGCATCTGATTTTAGATATCTTTCATCACCAGAACATGGACAAATCCTATTAGGCAAATGAATCAAAAGGCCAGGCATCCAGAGAGGCCAACACTGACTCCCTTTCCTTCTGAGAAAGGAATTCTGCAGTTGGGAAAGGTGTGATCCAGCCAAGTGAACATTGGTCCTCAAGGGGAGGAATCAGTTCAGGACTCTGGCCTTGGTTTTTGATAGATTTTCAAAGGTGGCCAGATTCCCTGAGGGGTGGAGCACAATGTCGTATAGCAGCTACCAGTGGAGTGAGTCACCAAAGCCAGAAGTCACTTGGGAGCCATCAAACATACATGAAGATCTGATGGGAAGGATTTAGTTCCTTGTCTGATAGAGAGAGGTATGCCTGACCTGGCAATCATTGATTATCAGGGTTCCTACTTTATTCATGCCAATTTAATATTATTTACCTTGAACTTTGAAAGAAATTTTTTAAAAATGTTTTTTTTAAAAAATCTTTTGCCCTACTGTCTCTTTTCTAAATTATTTTATTATTTATATGCCGAAAACATGAGGTTCAGATTTAGATACTGAAATATTTTTATAATTTTATTTTTTTAACTGACAAATAATAATTGTGCAATTTCACAGGGTACATAGTGATGTTTTAATACATGTAATGTATAGTAATCACATCAGGGTAATTAGCATATCCATCATCTCAAACATTTATCACTTCTTTGTGTTCAGAGCATTCAATATCCTACTTCTAGTTATTTGAAACTATGTAATATCTATTGTTAACTATAGTCATCTGACAGTGGTATAGAACGCTAGAACTTATTCCTCTTATTTAGCTGTAATTTTGATAGATACTAAAGTGTATTTTTTTTTTTTGAGACATAGTCTCACTCTGTTGCCTGGGCTGGAGTGCCATGGCGTCAGCCTAGCTCACAGCAACCTCAAACTCCTGGGCTCAAGCCATCCTCCTGCCTCAGCCTCCCGAGTAGCTGGGACTACAGGCATGTGCCACCATGCCCGGCTAATTTTTTCTATATGCTTTTAGTTGTCTGGCTAATTTCTTTCTATTTTTAGTAGAGTCGGGGTCTCACTCTTGCTCAGGCTGGTCTCGAACTCCTGACCTCGAGCGATCTTCCTGCCTGGCCTCCCAGAGTGCTAGGATTAGAGGCATAAGCCACCACGCCCGGCCTAAAGTGTATTTTTAACTTAAAAATTCCATTATGATAATCTTTGTGTAACAAAACTCCTTAGCGCTATAACTGGAACAATATCCAATATAATAAGAAAACCGAAAATTTTCCATCATGGTTCTAATTTATGGCATTTGACTGTATATTTGTCCTCAGTGTCCTCAAAAGGCAAAGGTAGCTTCCAAACAAGAATTATCAAGGTCAGGGCGGCTCCTCCAGAGACATAAAGGACTTGTCTTAGTGAGGTTGGTAAAGTTTTCATTTGAAGCTTTCCTGCCACCAGTACCATGATCTTGGGGGCTGGTCTTCAGCTTCACAGGCTCAGAAAACCTCATTTCCTCAGCTTAATTCATCTCTCAAAGACCAGTTTCTTACTTTGTTGTCAAAACGATAATGGTAAAGCATTCTAGGAAGACTTCTGTCACATAACTGGTGCATTCCATCCCTGGAGGCAGAGCCAAATGGGAAGCCAGATGATCAGTAGTTTTTTGGCAAGGAATCAGGTATTAGCTGTGAAGATATATTTGGCTAAGACTAGCCTGAGGCCCCACTGAGGGTAAGCATAGCTTTGTTGGTGGGACACAAATACTCAGTATCTATGTATTAATAGCTAAATCACCTTCTCTTTTCTCACTGCCAGGATTTCGCTTGCAGATATTTCCTTTTCTACTCTTCCAGAGCTGACCGACTCATCCTTTATTTATTTAGTTATTTATTTAGTTAGTTAGTTAGAGACAGTGTCTCACTCTGTTGCCTGGACTAGAGTGCAGTGGTGTCATCACAGCTCACAGCAACCTCAAACTCCTGGGCTCAAGTGATCCTCCTGCCTCAGCCTCTGGAGTAGCTGGGACTATAGAGGCGTGGGCCACAACACCCAGCTGATTTTTCTATTTTTTGTAGAGACAAGGTTTCCATCTTGCTCAGGCTGGTCTCGAGCTCTGGAGCTCAAGCAATCCTCCCTCCTCGGCCTCCCAAAGTGCTAGGAGTGCTGTTTTGACTGGATCTAACAGCTATTCTGTCTCTATAAAGTGATTTTGTTTCCATGTCTTTGCTACGGTTTTAGTCATTGTTGATTTGCTAGATACTTCTCAAAGGGCATCCTTATGTTTTAAGGGTATCTCACAGTTCCCCTCATGCTCAGCTGGCAGCATGCACATGATACAGCAGAATAGCTCCTTAGGATGGTAGGTAGAGCTAACTATGACAAATTTCCCCCTTTGTGGCCATGAGCACATAAATAAAAGGAAATAGTGTCTCAAACTTGAGTCAGAAACTATTGCAAAACAGGAAGCGCTCTACTTGGAGCTCTGACTAAAAGCAGCTCCATTCTTAATTATTCCAACTCTGTCAATTTGGGAAATGTTAATTTCCTAGAGAGCCATTTAATCGCATTATTCTAAATCATGATAACCAGATTGGTGATTTAGGTCTGTATGATGTCTATAAGTCGGCTTCCTGTGGTTCCACAAAGCTTATCTACTTTTCAAAATAAGAGTGTATACACTCAGCATATATAGCAACCCTTGAAATTTATCCGTGTGTGTGAGATAGTCAAAATAGTCAAACAATACAGAAAGGGATTTAATAAAAAGTTTCTCTTTGTAGGCACCCCCTCCTTTACTTCCTCTCCCCACAAGTAACCGTGATTCCTGGATTATTAAAGCAATCTTTTTTATCTTGATCTTGATGGTACACTGCATCATCTTAGAATTGAATTTTGATAATCATGTTGTTTCCTTTAAAATTGCTTTCAGACAATTGATGTGTTAGCATGGTAGGTTTATAGGTAAGTTTCATGATGTTTATACATTTAAAATGTGCCAAATTGTCTTTTATCTATACTAGGGTTTCTCAACGGTGGCACTACTGACATTTGGTAAAGGATTTGTTGTAGGGGGAGGGGGTCGGCATTTGCGCTATAGGATGCTCTGTAGCATCTCTGACCTCTAACCACTAGATGCCAGGAGCCTTCCCCTCCCAAGTTATGACAACCAAAAATGTTCCTAAATATTACCAAATGTCCCTGAGGGTGGCAGGGGGAACAAAGTCACTCCCGGTTGACAATCACTTATCTATACCCTTTGAGAACTTACCATTTTTTACACACTTGGGCATGCTAATGTTTTATTATTTAAGTGTATTTTTGTGTTTGCTGCAGCAATGCCTCTTTTAATTCCCTAACCTTAGAAAATTGCTCCAGAAACTCGTCGTTCAAAAGAAGTGCCCCTGAATGAGAGGATTTGTCTGCAAGTGGGGTCCCAGTGTAGCACCAATGAAAGTGAGAATCCTAGCATTTTGGTGGAAAAGTGCATCTCACCCCCTGAAGGTAACTGAAATCACTATCTCTTGGTGTTCAGAGAATAAATCCAAATGCTCCATATGCTTGTGTTCATTGTTCATTAAGTCATTCAGTTCTCAAACATTTGCTGAGTCTAATAAGTGCCAGGCACTATACTGGGTGCTGGCAACACAATGAAAATATGAGGATATATCTCTGCCTTCAAGGAGCTCACAGACAACTTGAATAATAATGCCTGATTATATATCACTTAATAATTTGAAAAATGATACACACATGCACACACACAGAAACACATACACATACCCCTCCCCTAAATCTAGCCTCACAAGCCTATCTTGCGAAGTAAGGCAGATGTTATTACCCTGATCTATTTTATGAGGAAGAGGGAAACTGAGTGACTTGCTGTAGGTCTTCACATTCTATGTACAGTGCTTTAAAAAAAACCAAGATACTATGTTACTCATTATATGTGAAGATTAGTTTGATATGCAGGATATATTTGGGGAAAGATGTTAAAAAGAGACAATGCTGGCCTAGCTCCAATACAAGTCTGGTCCTGGGAAAAGCTGTCAGGTAGTGAGGTTGATCATTGTCCCCCAATCCTAGCTCACCCAGTGTCCTTCTGGCTCTTATATTACATACAGGGAGTAGCATATACTGATTTAGAGCAGGGCTACCAGAGACCAGCTGTCTAAGTTTAAATCCCAGCTCTCCCAGCTGTTAGTTGTGTTACCTTGGGCAGATTACTTAGCCCCTCTGCACCTCAGTTTCCTTATCTGTAAAATGGAGATTATGATGGTATCTACCTCCTATGGTTGTTAGATTACATAATCAATATATGTGAGGTGCTTAGAATAGTGCTTGGCAAAGAGTAAATGCTGTATACATATTATCTATTAATATTATATTGTCCCTTTTTTTCCTTTGGGTAGATACCCAGTAGTGGGATTGCTATGGTAGTTCTATTTTTAGTTCTTTCAGGTATCTCCATACTACTTTCCATACAGGTTATACTAGTTTGCAGTCCCACCAACAGTGTGTAAGTGTTCCTTTCTCTCTGCCTTGACTCAAATTATACAAAAGAAATTGATGGACCAAAACATTTGTACCCCTGTAATATTCTGAAATAAAAAAAATTGAAAAAAATAAAAAGAGAGTAAACCTCTGGAAAAAAAATTATATTGTCCCTTGGTTGGGTAGGGCAGGGCCCCATCTCACACCTCCAAACCTTAGCACTACATTCTCTCTACCTGCTTTGCACTGATCACAAACGTAGGAAGTACTATACGTAAAAGTATAAAAATCAGGACTGCCTGGACCCTGGGAGCATGGTTTAAAACAACTTACCTGCTCTATTCTCATTTCTTTAGAAGTTTAATAATCTGAAAAATAAACTAAATTATACTATGGCATAAAATGGTTGATGATGGTTCCGTACAGTACCTCTTCAAGGATCATGAGGGTTAACAGGTTTACATTTTAAATAGAGGCATGTAATTTAAAGACATGATACCTTACCTAAAATGGCTTTTTTAAAGATAACAATTTCAGGTCAGAAAGATTAGAGGACACCTAAAGTCGCTGCACACAATAGGCAACTATTAAGGGTTAAGTTATGCTTACCTTTTCCCAGAATTGCTTTAGGAGGAATGTTTATTTTTTAAAAAAACAAGATGTGTCAGTATTAATCAAAAGACAGGAAGGTAAATTGTACCTCAATAAAGTTTTTTAAAAAGACAGGTAGATATAGGGGTTGTTTGTATTTCTACATTCATACAGGAATTCTGTAGTCATTGCCTGTGATTGAAATATTATTCGATCTTTAACCTGTCTTTCCTGTTAGAGGTACAAGAATTAGGTCCCTCAGAGATAGCAAAGATGTTTTCTTTGTGTAAGGAGGTGAGAGAGAAGGTTGTGAACAAATTACATTTGGGTTTTCTCCATCCTGGGTGGCTTCTGGGTAAAATGGGGTGAGAGATTAGGGATTAGCTTTCTGGTAAAGCAGTGTGAAACACCCTCACCATCCCCTATGCCACAGAGCTACCGGCTAGTTTGCATTACAAGGGAAGAAGGATCCTAAACTCTTGACCTGGATATTCTAGGTGATCCTGAATCCGCTGTGACTGAGCTCCAATGTGTTTGGCACAACCTGAGCTATATGAAGTGTTCTTGGCTCCCTGGAAAGAATACAAGTCCTGATACTAACTATACTCTCTACTATTGGTGAGTGTGTACAGTAGAGTTACTGGAGGACTGATTGTGATTGTGTTAGGAGCTTTTGAATCTAAGCTAGTTAAAAAAAAAAAAAAGTCTATTCTTTTTTTCAAATCCAAGAAGATGGGCAGTTTGCTTCAATGGAAAATGCATCTGCTTTTGATGTCTACTTTTTAAACAATTTATATTTTAAAATATAGACCCACAGAATCTATATTGGAAAAAAAAATGTGCAGGGAGATCCCATATACCCTTCACCCAGGTTCTCCCAGTGGTGACATCTTGTGTAACTATATATAGTGCAATATCAAAACCAGAAAATTGGCATTGGTACAATCCACTAACCTTATTCATACTTCATCAGTTTTACTTGCACTTGTGTGTGCAATTCTATGTAATTTTATCACTTGTGAAGATATAGAATGGTTCTGTAACCACAAGGATCTCTCGAGTTGCCCTTTTATAGTCACACCCACCTCCCTCCACATCCCCTCTCCCTCTCACTCCTCTCCCCCAAGTCTAACCACTGGCAGCCACTAATGTGTTCTCCATCTCTATAATTTTGTCATTTCAAGAATGTTATTGGAATGGAATCGTACAATATATAACCATTTAAGATTGGTTTTATTTTTACTCAGCATAATGTCCTTGAGATTGTTACTGAGCAGCGGGCTCACTTCCTGACGTGCACAGAAGCCAATACCATGGCGCTGGCTTTTGAGGAAAGAGAAAGCTTTATTGCAGGTCGACTGGTGAGGATACAGGAGGCAATGCTCAAATCTGTCTCCCTGATCTTGGGGTGATCAAGCTTTTATGGCATTTCTAACTAGTCCCAGGTGATGCCAATGCAGCCAATCTGCCAGGCTTGGGGTGTTAACAATTAGGGCATTAAAGCCCTTTCCCACTGTGTGTGCCCAGGCTACATGACTTGCAATTTTGGCTCTGCGCCATCTGTAACAACTTAAGTAATGATTAATCAGTTTAAGCTGGTCTTGCAGTTTTACGATCCATACAACTTGTGCAAATCAAGAGTTCATTCCTTTTTATTGCTGAGTAGCAGTCCGTGATATGGATGTACTGGTTTATTTAACCATTCATTCACTGAAGGACATCTTGGTTGTTTCCAGTTTTTTTGCTATTATGAATAAAGATGCTGTAAATATTCACAAACAGGTTTCTTATGTGAACATAACTTCATTTCTTTGGAATAAATGCCCAAGAGTACAATTCCTGGGTCATATTATAATTGCATATTTAGTTTTATAAAAAATTATCAAACTATTTTCTAGAATGGTTGGACCATCTTATAATCCCATCAGTAATGTATGAGTCGTTGTCTACTTTTAAAAAGGACAATGATATCATGCCCCAAAAGTAGTTTAGTTACCCACAAAATAACTTTGATATTTTTATATTTGATACTTTGGTGTTTGATGTTTGTGACTATACCTACTACAAACTTGGTTAAATTTCTAAATTAGTCTTTATTTCCTTTCCTTTAGAGCCTATTAACAACAGAACAAGGAAGAAAGGGACAGGTTAATCCACTTCAATTCAGTAAACCTTTGTTTAGCATCCTTTGTGGGTCAAGTGCTGAATGGGCAGCAGAGACAAGAAACATGTCTCTTTGCTCTTTTTTTTTTTTTTTTTTGAGACAGAGTCTCACCCTGTTGCTCGGGCTAGAGTGCAGTGGCGTCAGCCTAGCTCACAGCAACCTCAAACTCCTGGGCTCAAGCGATCCTTTTGCCTCAGCCTCCCGAGTAGCTGGGACTACAGGCATGCGCCACCATGCCTGGCTAATTTTTTCTGTATGTTTTTAGTTGTCCAGCTAATTTCTTTCTATTTTTAGTAGAGATGGGGGTCTCACTCTTGCTCTCAAACTCTTGACCTTGAGCTATCCACCCGCCTCGGCCTCCCAGAGTGCTAGGATTGCAGGCATGAGCCACTGCGTCCGGCCTCTCTTTGCTCTTAAAGCTTAAAATATAGAGGGGGAGATAGTGCCTAGTGTGGTTACTCATATTGAAATAAGATGGTATATGCTGAAGGCTGTTGCAGAGGGATAGACAGACTCTTGTGGGAAGCTAGGGTAGAGCTTGGGATGGTGGTGGAGGTAGGGTGAAGATGGGAGTCTTTGATGAAGGGGGAAGACTGCCCAGATGAGGGAGTGTCTCAGAGGCTGGCCTCTGGGGAAGAGTGTTCCAAGGAAGGGGGATATTTAGTCAGTGCGATAGCAGAGTTGAGAAGGGGAGATCTAGCATTGTAAGTCTCCCCTCCACATGGCCTTGTCCCCCTTACTAGCATTTGTTAAGACTGCTTCTGAGAGAATGGGATGCGGAGGGTCATATCCAGGACTTCTGAAGCTATGGGATAAACATGGCCTTTCATCCTGGAGTGCCTATTTTGCCTGATAACTGGATCAAAAGTAGTTTTGGTGCATTAAAACACTCATGGCTATATCGTGGAATAGAATGCCAAAAAAATCACATACATTTTTGAATGAAAACCTCCAAAGTTGCCCTGGAGTTCGCAATCATTCTCCTCCCCGGTGGAAGGGTCTTCCTGACATAGTTGAGAAGCACGGCAGGTACAGCCAGACGGCACTGAGATTGTGTGGTTCTGTCTGGAGGTTTTTTTCCCCCTGATGTAAATAATTCCCATCCGAGGTTTTATAGTTTCACTTGGTCTTCTTAGTACCTGTTGCTTCTCCTTTATTTAAAACTCTTCAGTGGCTCCCTGGTGGCTTCACGTTAAAGTCAAAACTCGTCAGGTCAACAGACCAAGCCCTTTATGACCTGGCCTCTGTCGACTTCTCCAGCCTCAGTCGCATCTCCCTCCATGCACCCTCGCCCCTCTTGTAGCCTACCTTCCGCCCACACTGAACTTCTTTCAGTTCTTCAAACTGACTCTTCACATACCCCAACAGAACACTGGAATTCAAACAAAATATTCAAGGAGAATAGTGGAAACATTCTGCATCCTCTCGTAGCCCAGGCCTTTCCTTTTCACCTCTTATTTGTCCTTAGCTCAGACACCATTTCCTCTTTAGGAAGCCTTTCTTGATGTCTCATGTCTAGACATGTGTCCCTTTTTCTTGTCCCACGGCATCTTGCACTTTCCCGTGTCATAGTACTCAGCACATTGTGTTGTCATTTCCTGTTTACTTCGTAGTAGCCTGCCACAGGCTGCAATCTCCCTTGAGAACAGGGACTGTGTCTTGTTTCCCTTGGTGCTGGTCACTTGATGGGTATTCCATAAATAAGCTGTGAATGTTTGGTAGGATTGAAAGCTAGAGAACATTCAGGGTTAGGGTGAGGACGTAGGAGTTATAAGCAACTGAGGAGCATTATAGTTCAGGAATAAAAGGAGGGAAGGATTGAGTAGATCTGGCTCCCCAAAGAATTGCTAGTACAGGGGCCAAAGAACTAAGCCTCAGAAGGAGTAGCCTCGCTCTGCTGATATTGCAGTGAAGTCTAGGGAGGGCTGTAAGATGTCTTGTGGGTTGGTAGCATCCCTGTGTTTATTATGCTGTTAACCTTTCTTGCTTTTCCTGGAGTCATTATTGGTAAAACCACAGGGAAAACCTTTTAACAGTCTGTGTCTATATAAGGGGCAGGAAAAGAATGGAAGAAGTCTTAAAACTGTATCTCATTCCATAGTAGACTGTGTGGGAAAGTAACCCAGCTATTAGCATGTGGGCATTGGCACTGGAGGGAGATGATGGCTTTGGGGTTGTTATAAGACAAAAGTAGGGAAGTGCCTTGGGGTTATATTAGTACAAACCAAGTCTCAGTGCAAATTGTAGAAAGAGTGTCCTCTCTGGGTGAATGAATTACAAGAAAAAACTGGACCAACCAATTTGAAAGCATAGCATTCTTCCTCCGAGCTGCAGTGTTTCTCTCCCTCTGGTCTGATGCAGGCTTTTGCCAAAAGCTGACAGCAGATGGTGCTTGGGCTGCATTTCAGCCCTTAGCTGATGTCTTTTTGCAGGGCGCAATGTGTATAACCATTGGAGGTGGCTCAAGAAGAAATCCCAAGAGAGTGGGGGTTCACTGGCATCCGGGGGTGCAGATATCAAGGATCCTACTTCTTCTTTTTTTTTTCTGAGCCAGAGTCTTGCTCTGTCACCCTGGGCTAGAGTGCATGGCATTAGTCTATCTCACAACAACCTCCAACTCCTGGGCTCAAGTGATCCTCCTGCCTCAGCCTTCCAAGTAGCTGGGACTATAGGCACATACCACCACACCTGGCTAATTTTTTCTATTTTTAGTAGAGACGAGGTCTCGCTCTTGCTCAGGCTAGTCTTGAACTCCTGAGCTCAAGTGATCCTCCCACCTCAGCCTCCCAGAGTGCTAGGATTACAGGCGTGAGCCACTGTGCCTGGCCAGATCCTACTTCTTGTCATATGCATTCCCAGAGCTGCTACATCATCAGCAGGTGCTCTTTCTGTAGTGTAGACCTGTGCTGTCCAATGTGGGAGCCACTAGCTACATGAGGCTATTTACATTTTAATTGAAATTAGTTAAAATTAGGTCAAATTCAAACTTAAGTTGCTCAGTCTTACTAGCCAGTTTCACAGGTGACTAGTGGCTCTCATATTGGATACCACAGATATGGAACATTTCCATAATCCCAGAAAGTTCTGTTGGATGGTATAGATTGTGTAGATTCTGTGTCTTCTGCCTTCACCACCTCAGTCAAAGCTTATTGTTTCTGGAGCCGTACTTCTTGGATTCAATTCCTGGCTCTCTTCCTTACTGCAGTGTGATTTGGGGCACATCCCTTCTCTCTGAGCCTCAGTTTTATAATCTGTAAAATGAAGATGGTAATAAAAATAGTACCTATTTCTTAAGGTTGTTGTGAGGGCTGTTATTGTGTGAAAAGTGTTTGGAGCTGTCACTAACTGCTAGCATGTGTAGAATAAGCACTCAATACATGATTGCTTTTGTTATTGGTTTTTTTTTTAATTATTCATCCCCATTCCCTTGTAGATGTAGTCAGTATACGGTGCTGGCCTCTTCCCCCACCTCACAGAATTAGCGCCTTACCCATACCTCCTCCCCTGCTCTCCCCTAGATAGACCTTTTCCAATCAAAACCACAAAAGGGAGTCAAGGCACAGTACTCATTAGCAAGCACCCAGAAATGGTTTACATAGATTTACACCAGTATAAATCACATCAAACAAACTGCCAAAGACTATTTCCCCTAATCCCCAACCAGAAAACATGGAATCATTTTTTGGATTCAAAATCATTCTTTAAAGCCGCAGGGCAATGACTCGTGTCCCTGTAGGCATAGTCTGGCACTGAAAGGAGCCTGGCCTGAGTCGCTGCAGACTAGCCATGCCAATGAATTTTAGGGAATTTCTTACCACGTTAATCATCTTCAGAGCTCAGGGACTAATCTTTAATTTGTCCGTTTCCTCATGTCTGCAGTTTGATTCTCAAGAGTACTTCAGTGCGTAAATTTTAACAGGAATCACCTGCTATCTTCATTTATCATCTGATCTTTCACAAGAAGTCCAAAAAAGTTGTCTATCTAGAACCGGTATTTTCCCTTCTATTATTATTTCTGTACTACAACAGAGCTGTTTTAAAATTTTATATCCGGGGTCTATGAGCATATGTGAAATACTCAGGTTACAAATATGAAAAAAGGATCGAAAAGATGACCCACTAGAGGAGTTCCTTTCATTATTAAAAAAACTAATTTTATACATGGTTTTCTTTAGTTATGTAACAAAAATGTCATAACTTTCTTCGGTTTCTGTTTCTGGCCGTGGGCGGAAAGCATTCCAGGACTGTCGGATCCCAAAACTACTCATGACAATAACTTAATTTTTAAAAGAGTTTTTCTCTCATAAACTACAGGGGCCTGCGATTAGGAGGGAAAGCTTATAAACTATCTCTTGAAGGAAGAGAGCATTTTCCATATTTTTTTATTTATTTATT